CACGCCTATTCAAACAGAGCGTTCTGATGAAGGGGGTCAAAAACAGTACAGAAAATTGCCTATTGTTTCAAAATTATGTTTTTTGATGTAACAAATCTTGATAACACTATAAGCGGACCTCAGAGAACAGTGCAAAATAATAAACAGAGGCAGTTCACCCCCTTTAAAGATATTATTATTCTTAAATATAACAATAAAGGCACTAACTCCGAAAATGACAGTGCGTGGGCTTTCCTAACAGTCTGAACTCCTGGTCTGCGCATATCGGGCCTCTCCGCTCTGATGATGCTTTCTAAGATGGCTCTGTAGCAGTGTGTCCTCAGTAAGCCGCTCTCCTCTCTCAGTCGGTGGAGATAGTCCTCTATTGCATGACACGCTCCCTCTCGTGCCTTATAAGACAACTGGTGCCCTGGTAATCCACGTACCCAGTCACTCATCGGATAACCAAATTCTAAACTGGAATCCGCCACAGTGTCTGCAGAAAATGGGGGCTGGAAAACGCCAGGAGGGTTTGGGTTCTCCTGGGTTGAGATTTTCATGTAGCAGCAAGCGACAGATGTAATGACCTGAACGTGAGGGCAGGTGGCGAAATGACGCAGAAGTGTAGAGCTAAGGTCTCCACAAGCATGAAGACCGGTGAGTACAAAACGACCAGGTTTTTTGGCACCACAATCAGTAACTGGTACGGTTTTACAGGTAAGCATTTCGGTCGCCATCCCTGATGGAAAAACCCCAGTGTTTATTTGGGCTACGGAGTCTGAAGTATTGATGTCAGTTTTTTGAGTCGGCAATGTATTTTGTAACTCTTCTGCTTTGATTTGGCATGAATGCGGCTCTAGATTCAGCTCCTCCACCAGCTGTTTCTTTTCATATGGCCCAGTGGTTGCTCCAATACTGTCACTTTCAGTTGCCGTCACACCAAGCTGCTGAATGAAGACATCCCATGAAGCCTTTGGGTTGACCCAGCCCACCACATGACGAGAAGGACCAGGTGCAGAATGAAGACTTTGAGCGTTTCCTGACTACAACAGAGACAATGATGAGAAAACTTGTGGTTTACACAGTTAAGATGCAAAATAAATAAAAAAATAATTTCAAAAAACATGGTCTGAGTGATAATGCAAGCTATATGTGTGTGTGTATCAATCTTTATGTAATATCAAAACAATGTTTACAAAATAGAAAATACATAATTAATTAACAGATTATTTAATAGAATACTTTATGAGTGTCATACCTTTAGATTCTCTTTGGCGAGTGTCAATAGAAGCTGTCTATCAAATTTGGTAGCCATTAAAACAAGGTTAGGGTCAGCCTCAATTCCTGTGACATCCAGGCCGAGTCCAAAAGACAGAAACCGTGTCAAATGGCCCTGGAGGGATGGATCAAATTAAAGTGAGTAATTTGCATATTTATAATTTAAAGACTGGCATTTTTACAATAATAAAATTAAGCAAGACATTACTGTACCTGTCCAGACCCAACATCAACCACACAGCTACAGTTAGCCTGATCACACAACTTCTTGACCAGCTAGGAGAGACAGTTCAGCAGGAAAAAAAAAAACATTTTAAATGATCTTTAGATTATCAGTCTTAATGGAGTCATATTTCTATAATAACGGCATTCAGAATCTTTCCACATTGACATTACATGCAGTATAATGTACCCATACCGTGCCTAGTCGGCGGATTTCGTGCTGCTTCTTGGGCTTGACGTGTTTACGGAAAATGTGTCCTAACAAAGAACTCTGACTCTGGTTCGACTGAAACTCCTCTGGCACTGCTGCACCTGTGTCCTGACCGTGCCCACCTGGTGCTTTACGTGGAAACGACAGCGCGTGTGCTGCTGTCCGCAGTGCCAGTAAGGACAGAGGCCACACAGATGGGTACCTAACAGACAGAATAAATACAACACCTTTGAATTTACTTCCATTTATATTAGGGCTGCACGATAAATCGCATGCGATATTTAACGCGCATCTTATGAGTAAAGCCGGTTCTGTAATCAGCGGTAAATTTCCATCACGTGCGTGCTTTCACATTGAGCAGCATTAACTACACAGAGCCGTTGTTCACTGACGAGCTGCGCAAAA